GAAGAAGTTCTTCCTCATGTTCAGACGGAACTTCCTCTGCTTCAGTTTGTGCCCGTTGCCCCTTGTCCTGTTGCTGGGCACCACTGAAAAGGGTCTGGCCCCATCTTCCTGACATCCACCCTTCAGATATTTCTAGGCATTTCTAAGGTGTCCTCTCAGCCTTCTCCAGGCTAAACAAGCCCAGCTCCCTCAGCCTTTCCTCGTAGGACAGATGCTCCAGTCCCCTCATCATCCTTGTAGCCCTCTGCTGGACTCTCTCCAGTAGCTCCTCATCTAGGAGGGCTTTGCAAAGAAGCACTGGGAGCATGCTGGCTGTTTCCAAGCACTGCACGATCCCTCCTGCCTCCCTGATGTGGTACCCATGCCCATAGTACCCCCACCAAGCCCCATGCTGCCGCACTGTCCCGTCAGCGGTGAGCCCAGGCCTTGGACAGCAGCTCTCAGGCTTTAGGAAGGGGCTGCTCCACGCTGGGCAAGGGTAGCAGTGGGATAGGTCCCACAAGCTGTGAGGAGCCCAAGCCGGAGGAGGGAGGTACAGGATGAGAGAGAGGGGAGCCACATTCACAGGGGTGCAAGCAGAGAGGAGAAGGTGGTCCAGAACTGCTGCCACCGCAGTGGAAAGCAAGGGCTGGGTAGGTGAGCACTACTTTTTGGTACGTCCTCCTCACTTCTGCCTGCCGGACCTGCTTCATACAGAGCAGGCAGGGTGCAAAGTGGAACGAGATGCTCCAGTAGCTGAGCATGCAAAAATACCAGCTCTCTTATTTTGCTTTTCAAGGAGGCTAAACTCAGCAGCGAGACAAGGTTTGTGGGTATGATGCGACACCTTCCTTTGACTGATGCTTTGCTTAACTCTCCTAAGGGTGCAGTTCAGCTCCCACAGCCACCTCTTCCCTCCAACGCTTGCCTGCTTCTCAGTGCTTTAGACTACCAGTGCCAGATCTTCAGATCTTTATGCATCCGCTTTCTCCCAGGGATGCCCAGTGTGGCTTTGCGCAGAACAGCGAGGGTGCCTGGACCCCCAGCGTCTCCATGCTGAGGTCCCCTCCCCGTGACTTAGCTGTGTGGGTACTTACCCTGCCCCCCGGCAGACTGTGCCCACTGAGGAAGCCGTTTGTTCTCCGCACGTCTGTGCTAAGGGCAGAGGTGTTGGCAGATGAGTTCAGTTCTTGGGTAGCAAGGGACACCAGGATGTGTTCCAAAACAGTGAGTCTCTGGGGGCAAAGAGCTGTACTGGAAGTGACCAGCGGATTCTGGTGAGCTGTACGGCCACAGCCTCAGCT